GGGTCAAAATGTTTAACAAACGCAGCGTGCGTCACATCGCCGTGGGTCTGACTGGTGGTCGGCGTGTCAATCGGTGACTAATTGTTGCGAACGAATCCGATTTCCCAGGAGCTCTAAGCGCTTTGAGCTCCATTTCTCTGGATTTCTTAATGCCAGGTGCCTCAAGTTCGTTAATTTATTGAAAAGATTCTAATTAACTGGTTCTAGAGGGGGAAGAAACGTCGCAGGAAGATTTATAGAATGTGCAATACAGCTGGAAGGCGCCCCGTCAGAGTCAGTCCACATAAAACTGCTTTCGCTCTTTGTTCGTCGCATATTCACGTCTGCTAAATACGTGGGCAATTACATTATTCTGAGGTAATTACCGTAAACTCAACTGCCTGAGGAAACGGCAGTTCTTTCTACATAAAGGCACGTTTTTAGCACAGGCCTGTAGGAGTGTATGAGCTGCTGGTTTTCAACTGTGAAAAATAGGCTGCAGATCAATTGCTAATTAAATACCAGTTGAGACTAATTGGTTTCAAAGTACCAAGCCATGAAATCACAAAAACTACCAATACATGTGACTCAAAACCAGCTTTAGCGTGTTTTGGGAGCTTCTTTCCCCGCCGTCTCTATTTTAAGCTTGGTTTTAGATCAATACCCAGACTCCCCCAAAGTGTCCTCTATGGGGTAGACATCATTCACGGCGGACCCCGTAGACTGCTCCAGTTGTACACCCTGCTCGGGGCTACCAGCTTGAAGGATGATGTCATTACAAAAACTGTGCCATCTTCCTTGCATTTTGTAAACAAGCGGCACTATGAACTGGGCATGCAAGTGTTGCAATCCTCTGAAGTTATGTGGGTCTCATTCCTCATGTACGCCACATCAAACATCATGGATGGACCTAAAACGTAATGGCATCAATCAGTGAGTTTCCATAACAGATTTGGAGATTTTGCAATATTTTATAAATGTTGATAAAAAGCTATTGCGAAATGACGGCGTTTCCATTAATCAATGTTACGTGACTAAAAGTTTTTTTTTTTGCCCTCTCGCGATAAGTCATTGTGACAGATGTTGGCATTAATGGCAACGAAAGCCCCTAATATTTGAGAGCAGCCACGTATGAGGTGTTTGGAGGTTATCGTACATTGAAGAATGATCATGTGACTTATGTATGCCAGGTGGCCTGTAAATGCGAAAAACTGTTTACATTGCAGTTTTGCAAAATATTCCTTTTTCGAATTGCCTGATAAAACACCTCATGCAAGCATAAAACTTTTTTTGCGATTATATGGGAGTTTTTGCGAAATTGATGCGTTTCCATTGACATATTTCTGTTCGCAATTTCAGTTTGCTCAATTTGAAGGGTAATGGAAATGCAGCTAATGTCAACATGGACATTTGTGACGAGAGCCAAGGTTAGTAGTTTTGTATTTTTAACGCCAACAATTTGTATGTTTTTTTTTTTTTTCTTCAGTCGTCTTTATTGTTTGTTTGTTTGTTTTTTACCTAGAAGTGTCTTGGAATCAGAAACCATAAATAGTAAAAAAAAAAAAAAAAATTACAAATAAATAAAAACGCCAAAATTGATGCTCGGAAATCTCACATGCTACTGTACTCAGGTGAGCATAAATACACACCTGCATGACTCAAGGTGGTGATACAATATGCTAATTTTCTCCTGAACGATTATATATTTAAAACCATTTGGCTAGAATCAGTATAGCTATTTTTTGCCCCGTTTATTTTGTTTTTATCCCGAACAAGAATAATAATAAGATGATGATGATGAAGATGAGCTTGTTTCAATAAATTTTAGCAAAAAGTTTGTATGTGGCAACCATATGACTAACTGACCTGTATATTTTGGTATGCAAAATTTAAATTTTTCTAACTTTTGCAAAAATTGTCCACATATCTCACCAAATTAAAACCCAAAAACAAAACAAAAAAACCAGGCTATTAATCCAATTTCACTTAACCTTGCTTCAAAGGGGTGTAAAAAATTGTATTTTATACATTTTATAGATATGTAGTCTGAAGCATAAATGTACACTTTTTTTCTTAATTAAAAAAAAATAAACAGTGATGTCAGAAGAAAATACGTTAAAGTCCTTGTGATTGATATAACTAAGGATGTTTTGGTGGAAAATGGAGACAAAAAGAGACCATCTATTTTGTTTTGTTTTTTCAACCACTATTTTAAACATTTGCTTTTCATTTAGTATTTATCTTCTCCAGTGAACAAAAATGCTTTTGTTGTCATTTTAGTATACAATAGTAATTCCAATTGAAGCATGTAAAATGATTTTTTTTTTTTCTTGTTTTACTTGCTAGAAAGGCCCACACTGAGATGATCAGGATGGCTTTTGTGGTGCTAAATCGAGAGGAAAAGTGGATCGGCTGGCAACCGAGAAAAGGCCTGGTCTGGTTTTGTTTGATAGTTTGGACTGATATATATTTTCTCAGCGTGAGTATACTCGGGCTTTCATTGTCAGAGGCAGAGCAATCAGAAAAAGACGACTGACCCACTGAGAACTGCAGGTAAGCGGGACGCAATAACCCTCAAAATAAAGCTTGACGCCCGCACGTCTCCTTTGAATATAGAACGGTAACTGGACTCTAGTTCAACTCTGTGGAAATGAAAATGAAACTACAGGGATAAAGACCTGCTCCCTTAGAATGGCCAACAAATTGCGGTACGTCACATGTCCACCAATCGGTCAGGTAAGGTGTGGAAAACGGAGATGTCTTTTTCCTTCAAAGAACCCACTGCCGCAATTACCACTGCAGTTTAGAGAATTAATGGCGACTTCATAAGAGGCAAGGGATTTTAAAAGGAGAAAATTATATACTCAGAGCGCATAAGCTATAAATGCATTAAAATTACTTTCCCATAAATTACTTGTGTCATCATTACAAATGGTTTCATTCCCAGGCGTAACAATGGAGGCAGTTTAAATTGTAATGCTTTAGCTCCAGTCGAGTTTCTTGAGAATCTGCTGCATGGAGTGAAGATTAAAAAGAGATTCATTATAGGAAAAGACAAATCATTGTCTAATTGTTTAAAAGAAAATGCCACATCTTCCTGAATGCGGAGACTGATGATTGATGATTTTTGTTCCCAAAAAGAGCAAAATAAAAAACAAAAACGATGTGTTCTTGCATTTCAAAAAGCTAGATACAGTGCAATGGTATTGAATATAATTCAAAATGTAGGTTTTGTAACTTTTTTTTTTTTCCCTGACAACTTTTTAAAAACATCACTTTCATATTGAGAGACACTGACAGACCAGCAAGATGCTTCGTAATAGTCAAAGACATCTCTCTAGAACGCATTTACAGTATGTAAGAAAAAAAAAAAACATTTAAAAATGTAGACATTGGAGCGTATATCATGTGTGAATGATTTCTAAAAACAAGAATGTGACTAAATGTTTAGGATTGGAGAGGACCAAATAGAAGTAATATAAAAATCGGTCATTAAAAATACACACTAACTTTTTTATTCAATTGTTAAATGTTAATATACATTACAGTATGTACAATAATCCAACGTTTATCTAATGTTGTGAAATGTTTTAATATAATGTAATTAACATTTTTGTCAGTGTGTTTATGGTAGCTGCCTAAAATACGATAAAAGAATTTAATATGTGTTATGTAATATTAGTGTTATGAAGTTGTACAATATCGTTGTTTCAAACAAATGAAATTGAAGTTGTTATTAACAGAAAAGCACATTTGCGTTTGCTTACTGATTCCAGACAGTATTGTTTTGTAATAATTTGTGCGAATTGAAATTGAACTATGGATAACTAAAAGATTTTCAGTTTATAACAACTTAAATTTAACTTAAATTTCAGTATTTTTTAACACAATATGTCTTTAGAAGATACGCAAGTTATTTGAATTACTCCTAAGGCATGCCAATGACTATAGCAATAAAAATGTTTTTTAATTGTTCACAATGTAATATAATGGCAAACCTTTAACGATAATGACACAGAGGAGTGATATTGTTGGAATCAGCTGATAAACGATAAAAACATTGACCGCCAATCATAATCCATCCTGTGTTTAAGGACATTGAGCATTTAAAAGGACAGATGACAAAACTCCAGTGTATGTTTATAGTCAACAGAACATTATCATGCATTTGAGTGGATGTGATATTGTTATCGTTCTTTAAATGCATGTATATATGTTTGTCTTTTTTAAAACTTTACAGAGACAAAAGTGCAGCATGTAAACTCTTCAAACCATATTCTACAAAAGAAACTCGTACGGCACCAGTGGTGTATAAAGCACCTGAAAGCCATACTCAAGTAAAAGTACAGATATCTTACCAGAAAATGACTTTGGTAGAAGTTGAAGTCACCGTTTAAAAGTCTTAAAGTATGTGATATTTATTGTACTTAAGTACGAAAAGTATTTTTTAAATCTTAAACATACTTAAGTATTGAAAGTAAAAGTACAAGTAAATGCAAAATTGAAAAGAGGCAAATAAATATATATAAAAAATGTTCATACACAGCTTGAGTAGCAAGACTGTGTTCAGTTTTAACTCTTTCTTCCATTTTGTATTTTTGGGTAAGAATAAGAAGCACTTCATCCGGTACTTAGTGTCTTTCATTCCAACATAAGAAATCATTTCTGGAATCTGCATCTGAAATAGGATTTAGATGTATTTACACAGGTTAATGTATCTCAGAGGGGGACATGAATGCATTTAAACTGCAGTTCCCTTTCAGTCGGTCACTCTCGACGTCACGTCGGATGACCGACGAATTGCGATCTCGCTTAGAGAGACCAATCTACTTCGAGTGTAAACTAAACGAGCCAATGCACATTGGCATGCGATTATTGAATC